AGGGGGATTTCCAACAAGAGGCTTTACAAATGTCTGAAATCTGGACGCCTTTGAAATAAGCCTGTGAGGAGGAGACAGTCCGAACATCGTGAGCATGTGTGTGGCGTTGACATTGGTCGTCAGAAGCAGTGGGCCAATCTAAATTTGGAAACTTAATAACGGAAACTACCTACCTGGCAATAGTGTCTCTGGAGGCTGCACGGTGAGGCTTAGTAGTTGTAATGAATAACTGATTTGATTGCCCTCAGATATCCTTAGTCCATTGGAGGTACCATTGAGTGTCCGGACAGGACACCAGAGCTTGTCAGAGGTAGATGAGGCTAACGAGCGGATGGACGGAAAGAAGATGTCCGGTGGTTGAAATGAGGGTCTTTGGTTCTTGGTAAGAAAGCCAATCTCTGGAATTAAACAAACACCGAGAGGCTCCCATCGAATATGACCATCAGCAATGGACAGTGCTTTAATCTCGCAGCCTCATCGAGCAGTAACAACGGCTAAAAGCAAGGCCAGTTTCATACCCAAATGAAGAAGGGTAGCTTGTCCCACCGGTTCGAAAGGGGGGCTAGCCAAAAGTCGAAGGACATCTCTCAGATTCCATGAAGGAACAAGTCGTCGGATTGGGGGATGTTCAATAAACATGCCTCGAAGAAGGTGATGGATTGCTGAGTTGTTAGAGATAGAGGATCCATCGGAAAACCCACTGTGGATAGCTGCCAAAGCCGAACGGTAGAGCCTGATTGTTGAAACGAGGAGGCCAGACCGGAAGAGATACAAAAAGAACGCTGTTACAAGGGAAAGAGTTGCTTCTGTTGGATTCGCAGAATGTTGCTTGCACCAGGAGTTGAAACGTCGAATGCAGCTGTCATAGATTTTTCTCGTTGACAACCGTCTACCTTTGGCAGCAAGGGCGGGGTCGTCTTGAGAAAGCCCTGCCTGCTGGAGGGATCATTGGACAATATCCAGCACGTTAGGTGTAGGTAAAGAGGATCCAGATGGAGATGGTGAGAGCCCGGTTGGAAAAGCAGGTCGTGGCACTGAGGGAGCAACAGGGCAATGTCGACTAACAGCCTCACAATGCGAGGAAACCATGGCTGTCTCGGCCAGAACGGGGCGATGAGAAGAATTCGGCAATGTTCTTTCTTCATCTTTGACAGGACCCTTGGTATCAGCAAAATGGGGGGAAAGGCTAGAGACCTTCCCATGAGATGCGCAGAGCATCGGTCGCCCCAAGCCTGAGGATGCTGAAACCTGGTGCAGAATGTTGGGAGTTGAGCTTTCAGATGAGAAGCAAAAAGGTCTATGGGAACCAATGGGAACTTGAAAAAGCGGCGCGGACGGTAGCCTGAACTCCACTGCTTGGCTTTAGCCAGTTTATCCATAGCATCTATGCAAGAGTGGTTAAGGAGAAACTCCTGGAAGAGAGGAGAAGATGACAACCCTCCCGGCAAACGACGCTTGAATGAAGGGTGCCCCCCGTCGTCCGTAGGTAATGGGGTAGGCAGCCCCAGAACAAGTATCATTTCTCGCTGTAAAATCACTGTACAAGTGCAACTTTGCTAGAGTTGGTAAAATCAGGTAACCGATCTTGGCACCACGAACAATAACGAAATCTAACTTAAGGGTACTGGACGTGGGTTGTGGGTGCTGATCAAAAGAAAAAGCCCTTGAATCAGCGACAAGTAAATGGTGAATTTGACTATGCATTGATCAGGTCTGGGTCACCAATTTGTAGTCAAACTACTTTTAAATAGCCTAGCCTTAAACCATGTTTGTATCCCCTGAGGGCTTCTTTGCCCAGAAAAGGGAAGGTTAAAATTTTGGCAGACTTATGCCGAAAGCAACATGAAAACAAATGAAAAAAATAAAAAGATCCACCTGGGATTCTTTGCAGTTCCGCGGGCTTTCTTTATGAAATCAATTAAAATCAATAATTATTAAGAAGATAAAAGTCACTGCACTGATAGTCCACATCTCCGTGGCTTACCTTAGGCTGTATACTACTGCTAAATGGACCACCATGGTGACGTGACAATATCAGCATACTGTGGATACATGCTGGAGAGTGAAGCAACTGACAACCACCATGTCCGAAGTCAGTGAGGACAACGAGAGAGTGTGAGAGTGATGCAGGCTGCGCTGCATTTATTTGCTAGTGCATCTGGAAAGAATTTGTATGCAAATGATCTGCGGCTTGGTGGAGTCGCTCCATGAATGGGGTCTCCACACTTCCTTTATCAACCTGCCAGGTCTTAGGGACAGGATGGCTCAGTTATTGGAATGTGACTTCAACATTCTGGAACCCCAGGCAACCCTCAGTGCGATATGTCACTTTTGCACAACTGTCAAAGGCAAACATGTCCTGATTCAATCACACAACTCATCAGTGATTATATACATAAATCACCAAGGAGGCATGCACTCTCCACACCTCGGTCTCCTGACAAACAGATATTTCTGTGGGCATTTGACTATGTGGTCAACCTGAAGGCAACCCATATTCCAGAAGCCAGTGACTCCATTGCAGACATTTGCTCTTGGGGAAGGATCCAATCAACAGAGTGGATTGAGTACCGCAATGTGGCTGAGTCAATCTTAAAGGTACTTGACAATTGACATGTTAACCTCTTTACCTCAGCAAAGAATAGTCAGCTGTCAGTGTTCTGCACCAGGTTCCCTCACTCAAAGACCTGCTTGACAGATGCCCTCCATATCAGCTGGGAAGGGTTACCCTTCGTTATCCCTAATCCCAGCGGTTTTGTCAAGATCGAGCAGGAGCATTGCCATGTTTTTCTCACCACCCTGCTCTGGCCTCAGTTCTCTGATTGACCAGGCTGATATAAATCTACACCTGTAGAATACAAATTTTTACGTTATGGTGTAAAGAACAAGGTGGGGCTCCAACTGAGGCACCTATAACCGCAATGGCCGACCATTTTGTACCTATTTAACTCGAGACTGCAGCAACTACTGGCCTGGCATCATAGTTGCCTGCAGTGGTTTTCCCTGAGGGGCCCTTTCCCTTGGATAATACCACTCTCAGGCACCTCCTTCATGGTATGTTCATCGAGCGCTCCCCCATTGAGGCAGCTCATTCCCTGTTGGGACCTGCCCCTTGCCTTGAGCTCCTTACAGGTCAGCCCTCCAAGCCTTTGAACAAGACCTTATTACACTCTTCAGTGAAGCTGGCTTTTGTGCTTGCAGTAAGCACCTCACGCCGAGGCAGCAGACTGTGAATGTTATCTATCACAGACAACCACATCAGATGGGAGCCCCACAGTGTGTGCTTCTTCCCAGCGCTGGGCCTCCTCACGAACATCCAGTTGGAATCATTCCACCCACAAAACCTCTTCGTTTTTGATATCGTAAAGCACTCTGATTCTCCTAGTGACAAGCTATGCTATCCTGTTTGAATTCTCAAATGGTGTTTGGCCAGGACTCAGAAACTGTAGGTTACATCCTCTCAACTTTTTCATTACCTTGATAAACCTCATCGGCCAGAAAGCAAAGTGACTATGGCTAAATGGGTTTTCTCGGCCATCAAGTTTGTCAATCCAGAGTGGCCAACTTCTTCAGATGATAAAACCTTTCTGCCCTATCAGCTCATGACTGCAGGGTGGTATCTACCCCATGGGCATTCTTCAGTGGCATCCTAATAGAGGATATGTGCAGGGCAGCATGCTGCAAAATACTGTCAACATTCACCTTCTGCTGCCTGAGCAATGTCTTGCAAAGAGACTTCTCCCATGGCAAAACAATCCTATCCTCTGCACTGAGACCTTGAGGACTTTCATCGAGGCAGGGCACCTTCAGATTTATCTGATGGCTTCCCTTCTCCTTTCATTGGGTCCTCAACACTCCCGCACTGTCCTTAAGATGTTCTCGACATTAATCACTTTTTTTCTCACATTCAGTGTGTCTTCGCCAACCCTCCCATTTGAAGCAAGATATGGGATGGAGAGAACACCCCCCTCGCCTTCGTGTTGGTCATTGTTTGATCAGAATCTCAGGAATTCTTTACAGACTTCTGAGGGGATGTGTTAGGTAACAATAGTCTAGAGTGTGTATCGGGATTGGACAGGTAAGGGGGGTACCCCTCCATCCCATATCTTGCCTGGTATAAACCCTCCTCTAGAATACGGTGCTACTCTGCTAAAGTAGTGACTGTTTGGGTAGCATGAATGCAGAGGACTCCTCTCTTACAGTAGCGTGGGAGAGTCTGCTAGGGGAATATCTGCCCAGATAGCCAGCCCCCGCCCGTCCTCCCTACTTTGACTCAGACCTCAGACCTATAAAAAAGGACAAACATGGTACTAGAGGGCACACTACAATTGATTAAGTGTTTAGCGAACAGCAAAAGATATGAAAAGAAAGTTGCTAAAGTAGCGACTGTTTGGGTAGGTTTTCTGTAGCAGACTCTCCCACTCTGCTGTAGGGGAGGGAATTAGTGCAAGATTGTTTATTACATGCATTTGAATTATCTTTCACTTAACTATGGCAGTTTGCCCAAAAAGTAACAATGCCACAGTACAATGTCAGCAGAGCATCAGTGGTTGTTGACACACTTGACTTGTTTGTCTTCAGTCAGATATTCTATTTACATGTTAATGGCTATTATAGTTTGTATCTATCAACATGTCAAAAATTCAGAGAAAAATCAAAATCCTTTAAAGGTTTAATTTTTGCCCTCATGCCAGATTCCTTGCCTTAAAAATTTTGACATTTTAAGACTATTCAAAATATGATTATTATATATACACCAAAGATCATGAACATTACTAAATCTGCATATTGGGGAAATATCAGCTCTAGTTGGTTTCTGCATTCTTCTACAATTGTCTTTTCCCAGTTCCATCTCACTTTGCTAGAATGCTTCATAAACATGTTTTCCTTTATCATGATGCAAAGCCTTGCATATAAAATTGCAGTCACATGTAGACAGTCTCCAATGAGCTGAATGGAAAAGCAATTCTCTGTAAGTTAATTGTTCTTGTTAATTGCAGGTAATAAAGGAGCAGGATTTAAGCCCCATGTTTGAGTTGACTGAGGAGCGACCATCTCATTGGCCACCATTTGACCCTGGCCAATCAAGTATGGAAACTAGCTTTGGTATGTCAAATATGACAGGGTTCGTCCATGTAGTAATTTTCCTTCAGAAAAGAATTGATGCAAAAATTCTCATACATTTATCCATCTTGCAATCAAGGTAATCATACTGGTTGTTAGTTTTGTATTCAAAGCTTCTGTTCTGTTAGCATGACAGTGACAATGCTTTCTGGTGATAGTTTTGGAACCCATGGGAATTTAATGAAAATTTGTTTGCATAAGGCTTTTTAGGAGATTTGAATAAATCAAGCCAAATTATCCCTAATACAAACCGAAATGAATATTCCTTACAACTGAACTCTGAGGAAAATTTCCATCTCGGCAGAATTGAAGTAAGAAAATGAATCATAAGGTTAGAAAGTGTTGTCCTTCCGCTGGGATAGTTACTCTATAGGAGTATACACTGCCAATTGGGCTCCTATCCCGTTTCCAGACAACAGCCCAAAAAATGTGAAAAGTAAAGAAGACTACTTTGTTGAGCTAAACTTCTTGGTCGAGGCCTTGCAGTCATCAGTCTTGACAACCGAACTTGTTGAGTGGGTGATGGCGACTGCCTTGCTCTGCACACAGATAAAACCATGAACAGCATGCTCTCCCCACACATGCACAAACACAAAAGGGACACTGCCGTTGAATGGGCCAGTTTTCTTTTGTTTAATATACTGGCCTAATCCAGGTAAGAACTATTTACAGGGGAAAAGCCAACCGACATCTGCTTGAGGCTTTTCTTGACCAAATTTTCAAGGGGATGCCATTCAACAGCATTTAGTCCCTTTGCAAGGGTCAATCTTCATCAAAGTTGCCTCAAGCAAAGACCCTATGGCAAAGATGTGCTGCAAAGTATGACATCATGATGATGTCATCACCTGATTTTTTATTGAATTTTTAGTATTTATTTTCCCCCATATGTTTTGTACACATTTTTAAACAGCCAGGTGGCCTAGACTTTTTCCGCTTCAGAAAGTGAAACTTGGTAAAAGCAAAGACCATCAGCATAGATTAATGTAGAAGTGTGACGTCACTTTGGCATCATAATTAGATTTTTTTATTGAATTTTGAAGATTTAATTTCTCCCATTGACTTTGTACACATAAAATCCAATGACTTTACATACATTTTTGCTATAGGGCTTACGCAAGTCCATTGCACAATCAGCTGACTTGTGCCATGATATCGGTCGACGTTATTGGTTGTCACACAGTCTTTGCATGATTTCTAGATCATTTGGCTAGAATTGTGAAAAATTGGTTTGTGAAAAAACATGGGTTCGATTGGGACGATATTTTTGGGGTCCGGAAAACTCAACCGTTTGCCAACTCGACTTCAGACACTCGAATGTTGAGAAAACTCGACCATTGAGACAACTCAACCGTCCGTGCGTAAAAGGGAGAGACAAGTCGTCTGTTGGGACACTGTCCCATGTGTTTTCTTAGGTCCTCTTGGGACTTCCCGGACCTGGAATTACACCGAATGAGTTCTTAATGGATTTTGCTTGATCAGAGGATTCCAAGGTAATCCCATAAAAGCTGAACTGAGACCAAATTCATGCACTGGCACAAGAAATTGCAGAAGGAGTTGACACCGAATAGGCATGATTACAATGATCGTTAGCAAGGGTGCACTGAGCCCAACAGCTACACGTAGTGCGGCGGGCCGCTGGGTTTGGAAGCTGGATGGATGATGTGCTGGAACTGGTTCTGGTAGGCCATAGTATACATATTACAAAACATTCTCAACTTGCAAGTTTTTGTCCGCACTTTCTGCGCTCAGTCAGGCAGTGATGTCAGGGAATCAGAACTCACGTAAATTAGCTCTGAATTTGCACTGACATATCCCGAGAACCTTGAATGCTGCAAATGGCCTTTTTAAGATTTAGATTTGGTCACCTTATGTCCAAATGATGAAAAGGCATTAACAGTTGTTATGTAACTAGTGCTACGTGTTCAGCACAATTGAGTGATCAATTACTCAATGCTTTTAGAATGATGGATTTTATTCAAAGGCATGTCAAATCAGTATGAAGCACAATACATGTATACTGTATATTTGCAAGTTTTACGATTACGCTGAACATATGTGTAGGTGCCATCAAATTGACTAAAGTCCTTCACGGTGCATACCATATTTCATAACTACGCCTCCAAGGACAAATCATATTATTAGGGGTTCATGGAACATGTGTAAATATCCAAAAATTTATGAACTTTGAATGTAGTCCTGACTATAGTCTCTCACGGTCCATACTTTATTTCGTAACTATGCCCCCCCAGGACAAACCATGTTACAAAGGGTTCATGGTACATGTGTAAATATCCAAAAATTTTATGAAATTAGAATGTAGACCTATAGTTTTTTATACATGTTGATATGTACCGTAAGCTGATTACACGCAATAGTTGAACTTCCATATTTTACTTCTTACATGTACATATAGGTGTACTTTATACTACTGCTGGAGTGAAAGCTAGAGATAAATCTGTTCTCCATGTTAGCTCCAAGCAATGGAATTCAACGTCACGAGCCACAGGTACCAACGATAGAGGAAGCTGCTGTACGTACCACAATGCAAGGATATTAACAGGTGATGATGAAAAGGCCTACAGTTTCATACATATTGCCAGTTCTAATTTATGCAGTCATGATGTTATTTGTACAATGTATGTGTGTGTGTGCGTGTGTGGGGGGGGGTTACATCCATGTCCATGTACCACCATCATAAATGGTCGCCCCAGGCCATCAACATCCATGGGCCTGGTCCTCCACTTTAACATTCAGGTCCCCACGTACTCCCCCCAAAGTGTCAAAGTTTGTGTATACTACATTCAGGTTCCAATGTACTCCACATTTATGAAAACACAAGGTTTCTATGCCACTGAATATATGTGCACATGTATGCTGTAATTGCACGTGTTCAAGTTCTGACACACGTTTTCCCATGCATCAACACATGAACTGCTGCACCTGTAATAAACATGTTTTGCCCTTGGCAATGATACAGATGTTTATCAGCACAGACATGAGGGCAGTCTTCACACAGTGGCCTCGGTATCATTGATGGATAAGAGCAGTCGAAGCAGGATTGATCATGAGAACAGCTTCATCAATCTACTGGTCACCTGCTGGTAGCAAGACTGCAACCAACTGGAAAGGAGATTTACTTGTGTATGTAAACTGCTAAAATTTAATGAAAAACAACTGCAGAAATTGTTCAAACTGGTTTCGGAAGACGAGTGCAAAGTTTTCAGCATTTAAAAGACCCTGATATTTTCAGTTGATCCCCATGTCATTGTCATTGAAATGTCTGGAAATCTTCATAATGGAACAGAAGTTGGCAGTTTTTATATCATACTTTTCAGAGAAATGTATGCCCTAAAACATGAGAGCAGATTTGTGCTTCATTTTTTCAAAACACTCAAATGTGCATATTTCATTGTTCCCCTAAAAGACAAAACTATATTATTGCTGGTTCATAGTGTTTGATTATGTACATGTTGCTACCAGCTGAATATTTCAATTTCCTTATTTGTTTTTTATGTCTAGGCACCCTTCATGCTGTTGCTGAAGTGAAAGCCACATGTTTAGAATTCAACGTAACGTTCATATTAATCCACAGTGACACTTATTTTCCATACAGTCCAGCACATAAAGAAAGCGTTGTTAATACAAGGTCATATTTACAACATGAACAATTCTAATTCCCAATTCTTTGTACCTCTAGTTGCCCATCATCGGCAATAAAAAGTAGTATAATAAGATACATGTGTAATTTATAAAATCCTAGAAACCATGTTATGACAGTTCCCTTTATGATTCTTGTGGCTTATGGAAAGTAATAGACAGTGTACAAGTATATCAGACCTACCAACAGCGTATAGCTGGCAGTACATAGAGCACTACTACATTTTAGGTGTGAGGAACTCAAGGATTGCTGTAAAAATACAAGAATATTTATGAAAATATACGCAGATAAGTAGAGGGCATTTTGAACAACCTGCTACAAGGTTTGTAATCACAAATTTGCTCAATCGGAAGCCTCTACTTCCCATGGATTCATGTTCTCTTAATTTAGTCTCATGGCTCGTTGTATTATCTCTTATGTATAGTAATAAGTTGCAAAGGCCTTAAATATCTTTCCCAAAAATACATGCACATTTGCAGAACAAAATTTCCCCCAAACTGGTCCTTAATGTCTTCCTCAAAGTACATGTATATCTGTAGAACAAAATTTTCCCCGTAACAGACAATATAGGAAACACCAATACTAAGTGATCTGCCATTTCATAATGTGTAAATGGACTTAC